CCAAAACCTGGGCTACAAGTGATGGACCTACTTCTAAATTCTGAAAACACTTTTAGCATTTCAATGCTAACCTTGAGTAATCAAGAATTGGAAATCGGCTCCCCAAAAAAGTTACATAACCTAAACAATAACAAAAAAAAAATGTCATTAGAGGATTTGTTACAACTTTGCTTTCATTCTTCAAGGTTTATTTTCCTTTTATCATCCTGGGCCTGAGCAGTTGGGTCCCTTGCTTTCATTGACAGATTTGTGCACCCATCTGAAAGCTTTCAGCCACAATCTGGGTACCCATCAAAAAGAGCTATTTTAGTCGACATAGCAAGGCTGTGGCCTCCTAATATGATGCCTAGGGAGCATGGACCTTAGTCAAGAACCACGGAATCACATTGTCGCAAACACTTTTGACTAATAATGCATGCTAGCCTGGTGTGGAGGTAATCTTCTATCCTTGACATCCTACCTTAGGGAGCTTCCTTCCCCAATTGGGCCTTAGTAACTCAAAGGTATAGTGCTCAATTAATCTTTAGAGAGACCACTCACCTCTGAAGGGCCTCAATTACCACGGAAGCAACAATCTACACTTAGTTTTTATCTTTGTTTTCTAGGTGGTTGTTTAATTTTGCATCACCTATCTTCTTTAGGAGATCGATGATTCAAAAGTTGTTTCGTTACCCTGGTGAAAATGTTCACAAGTGTACTATTGATGCTGACTCTGGCTTAAAAATATTGGAAAGAAGCATCTATCTTTTTGGCAACACTTGTCTCTTACTGTCTTTGACCAGATTACTTTCTTGGTATTATGCGATAGGAAGTGAATTCATAGGTTGGTATGTGGTCAAATATCCGAGTCATGCGATCACAAAATACTTCAAATTGCATTATGTGTTTTTGGCTGGTAGAATCAGTTGAGACTTGGAAGAAAATAGGCAGTGGAAATACAGATATTGCTTTTAGGTTCATATACAGATGTATGACGCTACCAGCCTTTCCTGGTTGATAGATTGGCAAAGGGTAGGGGTGGCCACGAGACAAGCTTTTCACAAGCTATTCGAGTTTGGCTCAGTTTAAACTGAGCTTCAAGTCGAGCTCGAGCCTGATATATAGGTTTTGTTTGCTAATCGAGTCGAGCTTGAGCCCAATGAAAGCTCGGCTTGTGAGCCTTGCAAGCCTAATCAAGCCTAGTATAATAAATAAATAAATTTTTATTATATACATATACATATTGTTATATATAATAAATAATTTTTATAATCCTTGTTTTTTTGTATGTAAAATAAAAACATTTTTATATGTATATTTTTTATTTTTTAGAAAAAAAATTGTCTTACAGTCGAGCCGTGTTCGAACTTGTGAGCCTTGAACCAAGTCGAGCTCAAGTTTTTAGCTCGAATTGAGATTGAACCTAACACAATTTCAGCAAGCTGAGTTCAAATAGCCAAGTATTCGGCTAGGTTCAACTCAAATCCACCCTGGAGTTTCTCTTTCACATGACATCTGGTGGGTGTCATTTGTCGTGCCATCTCTTCTTCCACGTCAACCTATGTAGGCTTGCCCATCCAGAAATGGTTGGAAAGCTTGGGACTTGTGGTCATGGTATTTACTTAATATGCTCTCCATATTAAATTTTGATCCAAGCTGCATTTCTGACTTAGGGCTGGAGGCGTTAGTTCATCAAGTAGCCATTTATTTTCATTGAAGTATTACCCAAAAAAAAGATTTAAAAAGGAGTGAAATGAAAGAATTGGGTAAGGATTTCCTGTGTTCGGTTAACCAGGATGGGGAAAGTCGATTCCTTGGGAAGATAAATTTTTTCAAAGAAAGAATAGAACAGATGACATTTGAGAAACTTATGAGTTGCCTGAGTCGTATGTTTTAGATGGTGTAACATCCAAGACGAAAAGGTTGCCCTCCACATTTAATCTGGAGAAGAAAATGATACGGGAAGTGTAGAAGTCATATGGAGACATATTGATTATTGGTGGTTTCTTGGGGAGAGTTGATGGCATAGATTGTGGTTGTTCTAGAGCCTAGAGGGAGTATGCGTTCTGAGTTACCTATTTTGTTAACCCTCTCCCCCACCCCCCACACTCATACGCACATAAAAGAAAGGAAAGAAAGAAGGAAAAAGCGAAAGATGTTTCTCTGTTCAATTATCATCTAAGCCGATAAACCCTGATCCAACTATATTTCGTGGTCGGAGACATGAATCCTGTTTCTTTATATTCAATATATGGTACTAATATTATTCCATTCATGTTTCAACCCCGTGTCAGTATTTTGGTGGGTTGAGGTGGATTCAAAACATTGCGCGGACAGAGTGGTATGGAAAGCAACCGTAGTAACAAGTGTTAGTGGCAGATTAAGCGTTGAGGATCAGTCATCAGATTGGGCCAGAGTTTGATAGCTTTTTGGGTATGAGATTATCAGATCTTTCTGAGCTATTAAGCTCTTTTCTACGTGAGTTTTGTTAAGAGTAAGAGCTGATTTCTGATTAAGAAGTCAACTGGGTGTTTTTTGAGAAAAAATAGTGTTGTATTGGTATACCGTTTTCTGAGAAGATTTTTTTTTTCTTTTTGTATGGAACTGTTGCTGATTGCTGCCACATGGGCATTTTTCAACTAGTCCGGATCTCCTGCACATCGATCCTACAAATCTTCCTGCCATATCAGCGTCGCAACATGGATGAATCTTGCATGCGCAAGTGAGATTAACAGACGTTTCATTCTAAGTTTAATATATTAAAATTTACACTTAATTTTAAATCAAATAATAGGGGATAAAGGTTTAAAGGCTTTCTTCTTGATACTAGATAAATAGATAATTTTAATGCCATTAGTGGGAAAGAGCGGCTAAATTACTGGAAATATTATTGTAAGGCTTCGACTTTTGACTGGGGATCTCTCTATTTTTTTTTTTTTTTATTTGGCCCCTTTTATTCATGTTCAGGATGTCAAAATTGGATTTGATACTCCACAGTTTTATCATTTTGACATCCTGGGAGTTTCAGTAAAGTATAAACCACTTATTGTCACACTTTCTCACTTCACTGTCGATTAAGTAGCAGATGTAGGTTTTCTTCTTGTTTATTTATTTTTGGTCCAGATCACATGCCATAAATTTAATGGAACTTCAAAGGATGCGCGAGAACCTTACCAAATAAAACACTATTTACCCTTTCTTTTTTACCGTGTAGTTGATAAATTTTCTTTTCCTTTTGATAAACGATTCCATCAAACTGAAACTTCAAAAGAAAATAATATTCCATCAAATTATACAATATATTTATTAAAGAGTGCTCTATTAAAAACAATAAAGAACGCGTAGATTATAGAGCCGTGCAAGTTGGTGGAATTGTGGGTTGGTGCATGAAGCACTTGATTTATTCTTTCGTTTTGTTCTTATCCTTATATCTTCCATGGGAGATTGAGCAGTGTACAGGGATAAATTAGTCAATTACAATTGCTTATCAAATTAAAATAAAATAATCTATTACACTCTTCTTTGTCTTCCCAATAGGTCTCAACCATCTACCAAACTTTCGCTCCGACTGGGCTTGGAAGAGATGAAGGTTACCTGGTAATAGGAAGTAAGTCAGAGGTACAGGAATAATTTAGGATGTGAAAGCAAAACCTGCATGCGGCTTTCATATCTGGTCTAGTCTAGATTAAAAAAGAAAAGAAAAAAAAAATCGAAGGACGTAGATTAATTACCTCTCGTTGGTGCTCTTCTTCAAAGCTTGGGACCCAGTCGTTCGTTGCAGGGTTGCTTCTGAACCTCGTCATCGGCTTTCTTGTTCCCCCATCATGGCTTCTTTGGATGCCAAGACCATATCCATCTCCACCTTCTCCCATCATCTTTATAAACCCACTTCCTATCTGCACTCTCCCAGAAGAAAACCAACTCGTAACAGATCAGAGAATCGGTAAAACAAATATGGAATGAACTGATTGATGCTTACCGTGTGGTGCTGTTTGTCGATAGAATTAAACTCCTTGTAGTATTGGGTCTCCACAAACTCCTCTTGTACTATAGAATCTCCCTCCTTTACAGAGATGGGCAGGGATTGTGACTGAAGATAAAGAAACTTGTGGAGTTCAGGGATGTTATCCCCCTCAAAGGTGGAGATCTGGTCAGACTCGGTGGTGGTAATCGTGGTAATATCGGTTTCGCTTCGGTTGGGTTTCTTGGGCCGCTTGGGTGTTATGGAATCGAAGTGAGCCCTGATCTCCTCGGCGATCCTCAGCTGTTCATCAGCGTCTGACACCTCGTCGCTACGGCTAGGTTTCTTCACCACCCACTGTCCGCCCATTGGTTTTGAGTTTTGAGTTTTGATCGATTGGTCGCTCTGCCGGGTCTGTCACCAATGACTAAACTCACCAAGCCAATGTCGAAATAAAGTGGTTGAAGTCCCTGGATGGCTGCAATATTTATAATTAATCCATGATCCAACGAAAACGAGGAGGAAACCAGAAACTCTCAGAAAGAGACGTAACAATTTTGCGTTGAAAGTCAATGGGCCACTTTGAACGCATTTGTATAATTTCCCTTGATTGCTCATTGTTGTAGGCTTAGCTTGCATAAGTGCATAACCCAACTGCTAAAGTCCTAAAACTGAGCAGACCGGAATAGCTGAAAAATAACCCAAAGCAGTTCGCTTTGAACCACCAACAGAATGTGTAATAAATCAGGTTGAACCGGCTGAACTATGTAGAGTTTTGGACCAACAGATCAACTGGTCAATCCGATCATTGGTTGGTCAACTCACCTCAGTAAAAGACCCATTCTGGCCTCTACAAATGGTATGAATGGTTTTTCGCCGGTGTCTTGTTCGGCTTGACGGGGGTTTATCCTTTACAGCGGTATAGCCTATAGGGATCGCAATTGGGTTAGATTGGGTTCGGTAGGGTTGGATAGCAACCCACCCACCAACCACGGAACCAGTAAGTTAACCACCCACATCCGTTAATTAATAACCTATAAAAAAGCGGGTCCTACCCGACCCAATCACACTTAAACCCGTATAAGTTTTGAACGCCCTTAAGTTTAAACTGCCCACCTACCACTTGTTCACGTCACGCACAATTTGATTAGAGTTATGCAGCTGATTGAAATCCAAATTATTTAAAGCAGCTAATTAATGGAATACCGCTACCTAACCCAAATAATAACCCGAAATCCAAACCCATATCGTCCTAAGCAGATTTCCTGGATTAAACCCCATGCTTCTATATCTATCTATAAATATAGCAAGACGGTCCACCACTCCCAATATGCCCAGACTTCAAAAAAAAAATGCCAGTAGGCCCTGCATTATTCTTGACTCTCTCTCCTCTTTCCTTTCCCATCACTCCCAATTTGCCATTTCAGCACCTCTCCTTTATTGCTTTTCTTTCTCATTGAGTTCTCTCTCCCCCCCATAATTCATGACGCTCACTTTTTATAACAACCTAACTTCACTCCTTAATTAGGTCAATGTATGTTTTATCATCTCCATTTTCCCATAAAAATAGGGTCATACTTTATTAAGATTTGATTTTCTAAATCAAACAATATTTATATCTATAGACATGATTTCAAGCAAAGAAAGGGGAATAAGGGAAATTCTATGTTTCCTCTATATTCATGTCATCTTCCATTATTGTTCAATAATATATTCTTAAATAATAACCCATTAGTTATGAAAATTATTAAATATTTATGAAAAATGTTTTACCAAAGATTATGAAATAATTGTTCCAGAAACAATCCATTATTTAACAAATATTAAATAATTTAATAATCTACCAAAAATTAATAAACAATCCATTATTTAATAAAGTTTGGTTATTAATAAATGTTCAAAGTTTCAATGTTTAGCATAATTTACATTAATCATTGTAATTTAATAAATTTTCATTATTTTTTTACAATAATAATTTACAATAATTATAGTTAACAATTATCAAATAATTTAGGGAAACTCTTTAACTAATCATCCATAATTATTTTTTAAATAAGTAATTAAAAAATTAAGAAATTAATCTATGAAAAAATATTCTCCTAAACTATTTAAATAATAATCTATTATTATTATTATTCAACTAAATAATTATTAAAAATTTAGGAAAAACTAATCTATCATAAATTGTTTCATAATTATGTAAATAACAATCCATTATTATTATTTCAATAAATAATTAGTAAATTAATTTTGGAAAATTATTAAGTCTATGCACACCAATCTAGACCACTTGGTTAACTTCAATTATACCTAGTTTTACATTAATTAACAACAAATGGTTTACTTTTAATTAAAAATAATGTAATTTACCATAATTACATTAATTTACTATAATTACATTTAATTTGATTAATAGTAAATCATTTAGGCTTAAAAAGTAAATAATTTACAATAATATGTTGTTATTGTAAATAACTAATTTTCTATACATTACTAATAATCAATAGCATTTTTTTTTGGAAATTATCAAAAAATATTATAATTTATTGTTAGTTAATTAGTTATAGAAAAGTATTAGAATTGTAGGAATGCCAATTTTCCCTGTAAAACTAGGCCCTACCGTGCCCTACCCCAAACGGGGCAAGTTTTCGTAAATCTTAAATGGGGAAGGGGTGGGGATAGGGAAAATATTTTTGTCCTAAATTAGAGATGGGACTTGCATATAATTCTCCAAACCCGATGCTAAATTGGTAAAATATCCGTAGAAAGGATTTTGTTTTATATATTTGTGCTATGATTAATTTCTTAATTACCCTAAAGAAATGATTTTGTTTTTTGTTTTCTTTCTTATTCATTCTTTCCTTATCTCTTTTTCTTCCTTCATTTTTCCCTTTTTCCTTCTCTTTTTTTATCTTTGTTCCTTTTTCTTTTTGTATTTCTATTTTGCTCTTTTTTGTTGTTTTTGAATTTCTTTTTTATTTATTTATTTTTTTATTTCCATATATTTGTAATTGGTTTTTATTTTATATTATTTTTAACACTTTACTTCATTTTTGGATTTTTCATAAATTTGGTTTTTTTTGTTTACTTTACATTTGTTATATATTTTTTCTTTTTCTTATTTAAAAACTTCCCCTTTAATTTTTTGTTCTTTAGATTTTTTTGGATTTGTTATTATTTTTTTTTTTGTTTTTTGTTTTTGTTTTTACTTTTTAAGTGGTTGTTAATAATATCTTTTTTTTTCTTTTTGGGAATTTTGATTAGTTTGTATTATTTTTTTTACTCTCTTTTCATTTCTTTTTTCCTTTATTTTTTTTTTACTTTTGATTTTTTGATTTTTTTGATTTTTTGTTCTCTTGTATGTGTATTTGTGCTTAACTAACCTTCCTACCCTTTTTTAATTCCTTTATTTCTTTTATGATTTTTTTTTAATTTTTGATTTCATTATTATTTTTTTAGTTTTTTATCTATATATATTTTATCCTATTGTTCTATTTCTATTTTAGCTTTATTGGACTCTTGACATTTTATTTATTTTTGTTTTGTTTTTATATATTTTTATTTTATTTTATGTTATTATTTTGGGTAGCTGACATCCCAAATGACTAAGCTGACAAGTGGAGTGTAATGCATGAGGGGAGGGTTGACACCTAGACTCAAACGGCTTCAACAAGGTTGCTAGCCTTCAAGCCTCCACCCATCGAACAAATGGGCTTCTTAGGTTGGTGGCTAGTTGAGAACCATTAGCTCGGCCAACAGGTACTTAGATCTCGTGGCTTAGGCTTTCAACCCTCTCCTATAGGACAATAGGATTCTAGAACTAATGTAGGATGATGTGCAGAGTGTGCATATGCAAATAAAGAACAATAGAAATAAAGTAGTAAATAACTGATTATCAGAAAATGAGCAATTATTACTAAAACAGAAAGAAATAACATATAAGCATGCATATATACACAAAATAGCAATCAAGCCCAAATAGGCCCCATGTGGGCCCTACCTATGGTCCAAGAAGTCCCCAGTGGAGTTGATAGTCTATGAGCATCAAAAAACGATTCACTTGAGCTAGATTTGGAGTCATCACTCGTCAATTATGGAAATGGAGGTAATGGGACCTCCAAGAATGACATCAAAATCATTTTTATTAAATAGTGACTCCAACAGCCCAAGGCACTGGCTAAACCAGTTTGAGTAAGATTCTAATGGAAGAGGGAAGGGTTAGGCACCTCTCTCCCAGGTCCAATAGTTGGGGCCCACATGGTAATCTAAACAAGAGAGGTGTGGGATTTACTACAAGAGGTGTCTATGCTTGTTTGAATTTCCATGTGAGCCCCGCCTATTGGACTTGGGAGAGAGGTTCCTAACCCATTCCATCTCCCATCTAAATCTTACTTGGATTGGTTTAGCCAATGCCTTGGGTTGTTAGAGTCACTATTTGATAAAAATGATTTTAATGTCATTCTCGGAGGTCCCATCACTTCCATTTTCATAATTGATGGGTGACGACTCCAAGTCCAAAATCCCATTGACCAACTTTCCCCCCTCTCCAAATCCAAAACAAGAATGCCCCCCTTAAAGGCTAACATTGGTGTACACAACAACCCCCGACAAAGTGGGAACACATGGTGAACATTGGACGAAGCCTGCCATACCATTAAGGGCGAGACCAATGTCCTTGGGCTTTTTACATAGAACATGTGGCATACTTCATACCCAAAAAAAAACTTTTCCTAGTCCCCACATAAAGCTAAAAAAAGAACATGGGTTTCTTGGTCAATGGGAACCAAAATCCCATTGACCAACTTTTCCCCCTCTCCAAATCCAAAACAAGAACGCCCCTTAAAGGCTAACATTGGTGTACACAACAACCCCCGACAAAGTGGGAACACATGGTGAACATTGGACGAAGCCTGTCATACCACTAAGGGCGAGACCAACGTCCTTGGGCTTTTTACATAGAACGTGTGGCATACTTCACCAAACTTTTGATGCTAACCATTTTGAGACTTGACACATGTCCCATTGATGAGGAGCACAACAACACTCCCCAGCAAGTATATAAGGGCACAGTTTCCTAAGGTGAGACTTTCTTCACACCCTCTAGCTCTCATACTCCCTAGACTTCTCTACTCTTTCTCACTTAAGCTCTTCAACTCGTAAGATTACAACTATGTTAGAGTATCCAACTTGACCAAGTTGATCACTTTTCCCCCACTAACTCGTAAGATTACAACTATGTTCAAGAAAAAATGCACATGCTTCCTAGACCTGCTTTTCACAAAAAAAAAAAAACGCTTCTGCCACGTAAGCAGTGAGCAACACTATGCTGTTTGATAAGTTGATTTTCATCACCGTTTTTTGTGTATGTGTTGACAGGTAAGCACCACATAAGATACACATCAATCAACTGTTAAGGGAAATGGTTCGCCAATGCATGAAACACTAAACTTGATGTTTCATGCATCGGTGGGGTCCCGATTTACGAAGCATGCCCATTTTTTCAATAAACGCCTGAACCAAATATTCATATATATGA